TAGGCATTTGCTGAAAATTATTTAGAAGTATTTTAAGAGAAGTAGTTTTAAAAGCCTTTTTTCTCATTTCTTTTAAACATTAAGGTACGCTTGTTTTAATCTATTATTCTGATTCAGAAATTGTATGAAATGCAGGTTTGTGTACTTGTTTCGTCCCACCCAACAGCCTCTGTCACGGCTGCGTGGTGAGGATGGAAGATGCCCAGTGTGGCTGGAACAAACACGGGACAGGCAAGGTGGGGGTCATGTTGGGAACCTGGAAGGCCTATTAGGGAGTTTGCATTTTGTTCCAGGTGCAGTGAAGAGCCACTGAAGGATTCTGGGCAGGGGAATGTGATGCTGTGATTGTCTATAAAGCATCCGTGTGCGTGGTATGTATGGAGTGAAAGTCAAAAGGGCAAGGCAGGAAGCATGGCCATCAGTTAAGAGGCTGGACGAGAGCAGGTGCAGAGCAGGTGATGATACTGTGAGTGAACATTGGGCAGCCCCTCAGTGTGCTAGACACTGCTTATAGTACAAATATGAGGTGTTTATTCCCCCCGGTAATCCTATGACCCACCCTCAGATGAAGAAATGAGGCACAGGAAAGTGAAGTCATTTTCCAAAGGCTACAGGAATTGGTAGAACCACCATTTATCAACAGTTTTCCAGCAGCAGCACCTACACCTTTAATGATCACCTTGCAGTAACAGAACACAGATGGATTCAAGGCATGACTGAAGGGCAGAACGGACAGGCCCTGGTCTGTGTTTCAGGGAGGGGGCCCGTGAGTGCCACGAATCTCCCAGATTTCCAGCTTTAGGAGATGAAAGAGGCGCCACTTACTAAAATTAAGCAAATTCCAGGAGGAAAAGGACCTAGGAGGAAGATCAAGAATCCATCTTTTATTTATCCAGCTAACAACTGAGTATATACGGATCTCACAAGAGGTCAGGGCTGGAGAACTAAATTCTGGAACTGTGGTAGTCAGAACAACTGTCCCTCCTAGTCTCTGGATAGGTCACCTCCCATTGTAAAAGTACTCTGCAGGTGTGACTGAGTTAAGGACCTTGACTTGGGGAGGCTGCCCTGGATTATCTGGATGGGTCCGCTGTGATTGCTATGGTCTTTATAAAAGGGAGGGAAGAAGGTCAGAGAGATTGGAAGAAGTCAACTTGCTGGCTTTGAAGATGGGAGGATGGGGCCTCATGCCAAGGAATGCAGGTGGTCTCTAGAAGCTGGAAACGCAAGGAGGCAGATTCTCTCTACAGCCCTCCAGGGGGACACAGACCTGCCAACACCTTATTACAGGACTTCTGACCTCCAGAGCTGAGAGAATAAATCTGCATTATCTAAACCACTACATTTATGGTAATTTCTTCTGGCAGCCACAGGAAACTATTATAGGAATTCTAAGTTAGTATTTAAGATAATGTGGTATAGAAAGAAACAGGTGACAGAGATGAACAGGTACAAACTTCCACATGCCTAGACTTAAGTTGACCATTTAAAAATGTGCAGAAATATTGAATCACTATGTTGCATAAGTTAATGTTAGTCGCTCAGTCGTGTCCGACTCTTTGTGACTCCAAGGACAGTAGACTGCCAGGCTCCTCTGTCCATGGGATTTCCCAAGCAAGAGTACTGGAGTGGGTTGCCATTCCTTTCTCCAGCAGATCTTCCTAACCCAGGGGTCGAACCTGGGTCTCCCACACTGTGGGCATATCCTTTACTGTCAGAGCCACCAGGGGAACCCAAATAGCAGGGAAGGGCGTCCCTGGGTAGGCAACAGAATTAACACAGTGTTACAGGTCAATAATACTTCAAGAGCAAATAAGCAAATAACTCCACAGAAAAAGATCAGATTTTTGGTTACTGGAGGTGCAGAGAAAGGGGAGGGAGAATAGATGAAGATAGACTCAAGAGGTACGAACTTCTGGTTATAAGATAACTAAGTACTAAGGATGTAACATAGATCAGGACAAATATAATCAACACTGCTGTATATTATACACGAAGTTAAGAGTAAATCCTCAGAAGTCACATCACAAGGAAAAAAAAAAGTTTATCTCTTTAATTTTGTACCTTATGAGATGATGGATGTTCGCTAAACTTGTGATAATCATTTCATGATTTGAGCCCCATCATTATGCTGTACACCTTAAACTGACAGGGCTGTAGGTCAATTATTTCAATAAAACTTGAAGAAAAAAAATAAAGAAAAAAAAAAGAAACTGTAGGTGAAAAAAGTAATAACTAAAGCTAAGTTCTGGAGGAGGCACAAAGAGGTGGGTACCAGAACAGACCAGGAGGAAATGGCCTTAATTAAAAGGGAACACTTCTTTTGTAACAGAAGAGAAAGAGGAAGTGGGAATGAAGGTTAATGTGTAGATTACAGTGAGAAGACGAAGTCATTCCCAAATGATGGCTTTTATGATCTCAGTGAATTATGTGGCTAGGTCACCAGCAGGGCAAGATTTCAACCCTGGGCAGCCGACTCATAATTCTAATAGAGTTCTACATTGCACCAAAGGATTCCCGAGATTTGCGGCAGGAAGTAGGAGCGGCCCAAGAAAGGCTACTACGTTCAGGCAAATGTAATAAAACTCAGGTGGGTCACTCGGGGCAGCAGTCCCCCACCCTCATCTCCAGCCACGTGGAACGCGCTGACTCAGCTCGGCACCGACTCCGCGCCGGGATCCTTCTCAGCACAGCAACCCTTCAAGAGGCAGGTTCTGCAAACAGATCTGAACTGGCACTTGAGAGGAAATTCATTTTCCAATCCTGACCGAGGGACTGTAGTTCTTTTTATCTCCTTCTCCCCAAGGAGACAACTATGGAAATAAATGTTAAAATACACCCGAGAAGCAGAAAGATAAGAGCAGCTCCTAAGTGTCTATCAAGCAGAGAATGACAGAAAATTCTGCTCAACCATGTCACCGATTTTCATGGAAGCTTTAACAAGAATGAGCTACAGCTGTAGTACTGGTGGGAAAAATATTGGTGTGTATTTCCAAGATACATTGTGCCGTGAAAAGCAGACACAGGACAATTACACAGCTACTTCCACTCATGATTAAAAAAAAAACAACATAGATACACGGGCACATATATATGGGATTGATTTAAAAAGGTCTGCAAGAGAATCTATCAAGCTGTTAACAAGAACCTCTGAGGAAGTGTGCAATTAGGATGAGGGATGAAGGGAAACTTTCACCGGGCACTATAAGTACTTCTCTCTTGAACTGTTCATAACAAATAAGCTTTTTCTTAAAAATTAAATTTTTTTTAAAGATATCAATGATGAATGCAACATGCAACAAAGGTTTACTGTATAACACAGGGAACTATAGTCAATATCTTGTAATAACCCACAGGAAAATAATTTCAAAAATAATATATGTGTATACGTATAACTGAATCACTTTACTGTGCAACTGAAACTTTGTAAGTCAACTATACTTCAATAAATATATTAAAAAAAGATTATCAGTGATGAACAGCTGAAGCATCTCTTTCTGGATTTCTGAACAGAAGGAATACAGGGGGTATTGGGATAGGATGTGGCAGAGGACAGACGGGAAGACGTGTCAGCAGCCTTGGTGTCCTCGCTTCCCTTCCCCCAACCAGGCTAAAAGCCTCCTTTAACCCCGCCACTCATTCCACTGCTTTCAAATCTGATTTCTACTTTCTCTTCCCAATTTGAATCACTATTTTCACAAATACCCCATCTAATTTCCACCATCGTAGTCGTTATAATCCTTTCTCTAATTATTCCCCCATCTGGCTGTTAGAATTAGCTTTCCCCCATCTTTTGATCATGTCACACTTCTAAAATTAATGTTCCTGTGTGCTCTGCTGATCTTCTGTAATCAATCTCTTCTCTGTTAAGTCCGCCAAGATCATTTTCCTTGTCCTGTATCATCACACCACTTTAACTTCCTTAACCAAACTTTCTGTAGTTCTCATTTCTGTGACCTCTCACTGTGCTTCCTTTAGTTTCCTATTATGAATATAACCCTTTAACTCCGTATCCACTGAGCTCTCCTGCTTCCACCGTCAAGTTCTGTGAGACCCAGCAATTGTACATGTTCATCTACTAAATGAGCACTTAATTTCCTTACATAAAAGAATTGTTCTCAGTCTCAATCATCTCCAGTCAACCCCTCCATGATTCCTTCCATGACTCCACCCACATCTACCTCAAATTCTAAAGGAAATTCATAAAAAGTCAAAACTACTCAGCAGTATCTCCTCTTAAAAGTCATTCTCACCCCTCCACATACATCGCCGATTTTTTGAACACCTGGTACCTGTCAGGCACTACTGAACGTATGAACTCATTTAATCCGGACTTGACCCACTGAAATGGATACTGTAATTATCCCCATTTGAAACATGTAAAAATTGAGAACCAGAGAGGTCATGGGACTTGCCCAAGGTCACACAGCTCACACCAGTGTCAGGGGCAGGATTTCAATTCAGAGGATCTGGCTCTGAAGCCCCTGCCCATTGCCAGCGGGCTGCACTGCTCTGAGGCATGCACCTCTGAGGCCAAGCTAAGTTCTTCCTTTCCTCTGCTCCAGGTAGACTGTGGCCTCACCTCTCCCTTCGGCACACAGCATGCCATATTGTAACCAATTCTTCCTTATCTGTGTCCTTTACTTGTAAGACCTCTCTGAGAATATAAACCATCCACCTCTGTCCTTTAACAGGTAATAGCACCTTGTACCAGGAGGTAGTTAACAGTCAACGAATAAAACAATAAACCAGATTCACAGCCCTCTGGCCCTAGCAGAGCACAGGCTGTCAACCAAGGCAGACTCAGTGATGACTTTCGTTTCAAACTTTCGGGCTCCTGCCTTAATAACATCACACAAAGAGTAGGTCACTGGGGAGCTGTAGCAATACATTTCCATCTGTTTACTCCAGGGAACTCAAGGTGACATCTACCCTAAGACGACATGTAGGTGGTCAACTGTGAATTGCCAAAGACCCAGATGGTGGGGTTCTGCAATTACCTGACAGAGCATCATAGAACTCGTCCTCACTAAAGATGCTCAGAGGCGGGGAACCTTTAACCAGAGACTGCTCTAATTCGTGATGTTCAGTGGCTAGAGTCGCCAGCGCTTCTGATAAAATTTTGTTTTTTTCTTGTTCCTGTTCCAATTTAAAATTCCTCACCTAGAAGAAAACAGATAATACAAACAAGACTTCAGAGTGACAGGAGAGACAGACTTACTCAAAAGGATATGAAAATTACTCACTTTAGATCCAGTTCAATTGCAACATCAGGAATGAAAACAGTGGTGCTACATATGCATGGCTGAATGAGCAAAATTACTAAGCTAATTTTGTTCTTCCCGTGGGGCCTTTTTTCACAACAGCTCCAGCCAATGCAAATAGATTAAGAAAAAGCAAACAAATTCAGCCCAAGTGATCAGGACCCTAGTAGAAGGACATCAGTCAATTTGAAAATCATATAAAAACTTTTTTAAAACAGAGAGTATTTCATTCAACATTAATCAAATTAAGCCAGCTTTTTAACAAAATAAAGAATCAAAACTGTTGTAAATATTAAAATGTGAATCACATCAAAGCTTAAGACACAATCCTCCAGTTTACTCTCAAAAGAGTTGGTATATCAAATAAAAAGAAACAAGAGGCTAGGAAAGGATGTTTTAATTACCATTTTCCAATCCAGAGTTTGATTCTGGTTCCATATTTTACCTTGAGTTTAGTGAACAAAAATAAATAAATAAAAAGATTATAGAGAAGGCAAAGTCTTACTCCTTTGATGACATAATCTGTTCTTCCTATCTAATTCAAGAGCTTCTGAATTTGAAGCTAACTAAAGCCTTCTGAAATTTAAGTAGTCTAGTTCTCATATAAAATAGCAAGTACCAGATTTGGTGTGAATAGTTTCATCCATTCTTGTATTAGAACTCTGACAATCACAGCTACTCCATCAACTCCCTCAACTTCTAGGACCCACGTGGCTTTTTAGACAGGAGTTGGAAGAGCTGGGATCCACNCCTCAAACTTCAAGCCTAACAGGATCTGCGATACTGAAGGCGCGTTACCCTCAAACTTCAAGCCTAACAGGATCTGTGATACTGAAGGCGCGTTACCCTCAAACTTCAAGCCTAACAGGATCTGCGATACTGAAGGCGCGCTACCCTCAAACTTCAAGCCTAACAGGATCTGCGATACTGAAGGCGCGTTACCCTCAAACTTCAAGCCTAACAGGATCTGCGATACTGAAGGCGCGCTACCCTCAAACTTTCGGCTGAATGGCAATACCTTCCCCATCCGGAAAAGTGATGCAGCTGAGAGAGCAGGTGTGGGTAGCACTGAAACTGCACTAGTGAAGAGCTGCAAAGAAGCACCTGAGAACATACTTCACTGGCACGATGCTTTTTGGTCAGTCAGATCAATCAACTGGAACAGTCAGCTGGAACAATCCAATTCTAAACCTGCTATCATCTCAGTATTTCAGAAACACTGGGGGATACCTGCACTGGAAATAGGGCAAGTTATGCACAGCGTAACTTCATAAAATCCTTGTCTTACTTTCCAAGTCTGTCTCCAAATTCTCATTTGCTAGTTGAGCAGCTATGGTGTGGAGAAACGGTACCTCCGTGCAGTCCCTCTCGGTAATTCTAAGTGCTGCTCTTCACTCTCATGCGTGTCAACACGGATGACTCAAACGATAACTACCCTATTACTGTTCAAAGAACAAATTAACTTTTGTTCACAAAATTAGTAAAACCCAACATGTGCTTATAATTAGACTATTTCTAGCTTATAGACGACATTTTCTTTTTCAAATTCACATAAAATTCACACCCTCAGCCACTTTGCCACAACAGAAATCAACATAAAACCAAGTAAACGCAAATGTCAAACTTTTTATTAGAAAACATTTAAGGACTGAATCATCACACATTTAATAGTTACACACTATTAACTATTAATAGACACATTGCTCTGAGTCTATAGCCCCTTCAAACTAATGCACATTCAAGCCTTTCCAATAATCTCCTCAAATCACTTTAATATGATCCCCCTTTCATCTTGCTCAATTTCATGCTGGCAGAAGAAATTCACAAGGAATACTTTCAAAGTGTTCTTCACTCCATCAGGGAATGGATGCCAACAAAAGAATTCAAGAGTTTTAAAAAGCCTGGTGCTAGCCAGTGAATATATGTTTTATCAGCTTTCTCCTTCTATAAAGCACCCTGCCATTTACCTATGTTCCCAAGAGGTTAAGTCAGGGAGAGGCAATGATTGAATCTGGCAAAGACACATCACTAAGTGGGAGTAAATGATTAGTATTCAGAGAACACCATGTCCAATTATCCAATTACAGGTTAGGTGACATTCTGGCCCTAATGATCAATCTAGTAAAGTTCTTTCAACCAGCTACACTCCAGTCAGTTAACAGAATCAGTCAGTCAGTTCAGTCGCTCAGCCACTTCTGACTCTTTGTGACCCCATGAACCGCAGCACGCCAGGCCTCCCTGTCCATCACCAACTCCTGGAGTTCACCCAAACCCATGTCCATTGAATTGGTGATGCCATCCAACCATCTCATCCTTTATTGTCCCCTTCTCCTGCCCTCAGTCTTTCCCAGCATCAGGGTCTTTCCAGATGAGTCAGCTCTTTGCATCAGGTGGCCAAAGTACTGGAGTTTCAGCTTCAACATCAGTCCTTCCAATGAACACCCAGGACTGATCTCCTTTAGGATGGACTGGTTAGATATACTTGCAGTCCAAGGGACTCTCAACAGTCTTCTCCAACACCACAGTTCAAAAGCATCAATTCTTCGGCACTCAGCCTTTTTTATAGTGCAACTCTCACATCNTCCATCTCTGGGTCAGGAAGATCCCCTCGAGTAGGAAATGGCAACCCGCTCCAGTATTCTTGCCTGGGAAATCCCATGGACAGAGGAGCCTGGTGGGCTACAGTCCATGGGGTCACACGTCGGACATGACTTAACTGACCACCACCTCCAAAGGCTCTTCTGCTTTGACGACAGCATTGCTGGAGGTGGGAGGCACAGAGCTCTCATGTGAATGCAAGCAGACGTTATTCTAGATTCATAGCTAGGCTGAATCATGCTCTCAGTCCAAGAAAAAGAAGATTTGATTTCATGTCCCAGGCATGATCCAAGTATGGAAACACATCCTCAAGACTGGACAGCAGGCACGTACTTTGTTTTACAGATTCATGAAGTGCCCTTGCACACACAAGGTTTTAGGGTTTTCACGGACTCTCAAGCCCTGCTTCTATGCCATCTCACCAATGCCTCTCCAACTGCACAAATTTTCTTGTGTTTCTCAAGCCCTCCCCCACCCCCACCACCCCCAGTTCTCCTCTTACTAAGAAAGATACTTAAAAATAAAGAAGCCTCAGTGGCCAAGCAGATTTGTGTGATGGGAGGAAATTCAGATGAGGGAGGATATGGAAGGAAGGTGTGGGTGGGGAGGGGGACTGCACGGAGCTTGCTGTGCTGCGCTTGGCTGGTCAGCGTGTCTGACTCTTTGCGACCCCATGGACTGTAACCCCCCAGGCTCCTCTGTCCATGGGGATTCTCCAGGCAAGACCACTGGAGTGGGCAGCCTGTCCCTTCTCCAGGGGACCTTCCCGATCTAGGAATCGAACTGGGGTCTCCTGCCTTGCAGGAGGATTCTTGACCAGCTGAGCTACCCGGGAAGCCCACAGACCTTACAGACCAATGTAAGAACTCTGGCTTTGACTCTGACTGACATGAGGAGCCATTGGACGGCTTTGAGCAGAGAAGTAATGTTATTTGATTTACTTACATCTTAACACAATCTCTTTGACTGAAAAGCTGAATAAGAGACCTGGAGGGCAGGGCAAGCTTAGAATCAAAAGATCTGTAAGACGCTACTGTGACAATCCCAGTAAGAGATGGGTAATAGCAATGGAGGTGATGAGAAGTAGTCAGATTCTTCATATATTCTGAAGGCAGGTCTATGGGATGTGAGACAAGAGTCAAGGATGACTCCATAATTAAAGATAGAGCCATTGTGACCCAATGCAGGAAGACTACAGGAAGGACCTGGAACAAGCAGGAACTCATACATGGGAAGGGGGAGGTATCATCAGGCATTCAAGTGCAGATGTCATGCAGATAATTAGATATCAAATCAGGTCTTCAGGGACAAATTCCAGGCTGGAGATACAATTTGAGAGTCCCTTGCAAATAGATTATGTTTTAAGCTGTAGAATCTCCCTTAGAATCACTAAGGGAGAAAGTAAGACAGGCACAGGAAGAAATCTAAGGACTGAGATTTCCCTCTAATGGGAGAAACAAGAAAGAACCAGCAAAGGAAACAAACAAAAAAAAAAGGTGGAAGGTGTGAGGTTGACTGAAGAAAACTCAGGAGCCTGTGCTAATTCTAGAAGCATAAACAAAATATTAGAAGGGGGAACAAGTGATTATGTTGAACACCGATGACAGATCAAATAACATGAGGACTCAGAAAATCCCTCTGGATTTGATGATGAGGAAGTCAATGGTGACCTTGGCAAGGACAGGTTTAGCAGAACAGTGAGAGAACGCTGAAGACAAAGGCTTCACAGGAATGGGTCAGAAGAAATGAGAGGGGAATTGAAAGGGCAAGTATGGCCCATTCTTTCTGCTAGAAAGGAAAGGAAGAATTCGGCCAATTGCTGAAAGGGGTGACGGTCAATGAGGCTTTATTATGAAATATATGCCAGCATGTTTCTACGTCTATGGGGAAGATTCAACAAAGGGGAAATTAATGATATAGGAGTCAAAGGAGAGAACTGCTGGAATAATGTTTCTGAGTTTGCAAAAAAGGATGGGATCTAATCCATACAAGTACAACTGGCCTTCACTAAGACAGGACAGCTCTTCCTTAGTTGGAGGAGAAAAAAAGCAGCATGTATGTGTCCAGATGCAGGTTCCCCCAGTGGCTCAGCAGCAAAGAATCCACCTGCAATGCAGGAGGTGCGGGTTTGACCCCTGGGTCAGGAAGATCTCCTGGAGGAGGAAATGGCAACCCACTCCAGTATTCTGGCCTGGGAAATCCTACAGACAGAGGAGCCTGGTGGGCTATGGGTCCATGAGGTCGTAAAAGAGTTGGACACGACAGAGACTAAACGACATGTGTCCAGATGCAGACAGGTAG